ACTCTATGCTAGCTGTGATTTCCCCTGATCTGTGAGTAGTGTTCATAGAATCATAGAAAATTAGGGTTGGAAGGGACCTCAGGAAATCATCTAGTCCAACCCCTATGTTGCCCTGTTAATACTATGATTTAGCATGTCCTGTATGTCCTGAACTAGTTATTACATGAACCCTTACTGGGGGATGATGCAGCATAATGTATCATGAGATGTAACAGTGTAACATAATAGATTTTGAATACCTTTAACCAACAAAGGGCAAATTTCTCTCTAAAAATGCTCCTGTTTTTCAATCAGCCTTTCCTTAAAAGTCAGCTGGCCAAACGGGGAATACATATTTGCATTATACAAGCAAAAAATAGGATGGCAATGATTTGCTAGAAAAGAAATCATACCTTCAGCCTTTAAATGTTTTAAGAGCAAGGATTTGGAGTCTCTTGGGGAACTGTTGTCGCTTGGTGTATGAGCGTCCTTTTCTAATCATTTTTATTAGGATCAGTCAGGCTAGGGACAGAAACTACACATAAACCAATATAAGTGATTGGAAACCAGTTCAAATCTGTAGCAGAATAGAAGTTCATGGTCAGGTCATGGCTGTCTTGGGGCTCTGCCTCCCCTATACCCAGTCTACTCGCCAACCATTGATGTCAATACATTACGGTCTGTGGTAGCTGCTTCAGCTCTCTGGCCCCGCTCATCCATCACTGACTGGATCTCTGTCATCCAAACCCTCATTGGGCAAACTCAGGGTACAGTGAGGGTGTACCTGGCATCCTCTTTGCCACCTACCCTCACCCTAATCCCAGGGCTCCCTGTTCTGGGCTTTCCCCTCCCGGGAGAGAGCTTTTACTTCTTGACCCAATGGGTCTTTAAAAAAATATAAACAAGGTCAAAAAGGAAAAGAAAACAAGAAAGGGGCTGCCTATGGGAGGCTCAGACAAACCCCATCAAGCTACCTCCCTTCTAAGTCTCCCTTTTTGGTAGTAGGAAAGGAGCTGAGGGAGGGTAGGGAGTCAGACAGTAGCTCCCTGTCTTCTCCTGGCCCTATATCAGTGAGGACCTAGCAGCTTGGGTGCCCCAGAGCAGTGTTCCCCATACATGGGCTCAATCTGCTCGGTGTCAGGTCCCTGCCCCCTTCCTCCCTCTTTGGCACCATCTGTGCCTTCTAAATTTCCCATGGTGGTGCCTGTGGCTGATTGACAGTGAGCTCAAAAAGAGGTGCTGTAGCGCCATATGTTATACTGGTCCAGGCTCACTTCCCCTTGCTGGTGAGTGGCCCTAATCCCCAATGCTCCCTGCCCTTTCCCCTCAGGGTTAGGCAGAGCTCTCAGGGGTTTGGGCAGGTGTACGTGGTCTTTGCTGCCACACTGTTCCAGATCTCCTCCAGATTCAAGTTGACTCAGATTCCCCCAGAATTCCAGGATGCTTTGCATCTACCCCACAAACTCCCACTTGTAGGGTGGGCAGGCTAGCCTTGGCCCAAGCTGTTTGCTCCAGCTGAGAATGGAGGCATGTTCTGGTGCCTCCCAGCTTTGGGCCTGGGCCACTGCAAGCATGTGGCTCCATTTCCAGAATCAAAAGTGAATGTCTGTTCACTTGCTTATCAGTTCAATCTGTGCAGCTTAGACTAACCTGCAAAGACTGAATTGATTCAGCCTTTGGCTTTTTGACTGTCTGTACTTGGCTTTAGGGAGCAAGTTATGGTAGAAAGTGTTATGTGGAAGGTGCCTTTAACTTCTGTCCTCTCTCCCTTGATCTCAGGCAGGTAGTGGGGCAGCAGCCAAACCCAATGATGTTCTAGATGTTCTTACTCAGTACCGAGGTCTTTCTTGGAGGTGAGTGCCACAATTTTATTTTACCTGACTGTGCACTTTGTCCCATGGACATTGGCCCCTAGGGCTGCTGTAGAAGCACACTCAACTTTATTGTCCTGCCTCAAATTCCAGTGACTTTATGACCTAAATACAAAGGAAGAAAGCATTGCTTTCTAGAGAAGATATAATGGGAGGCTTGAGTGCACTTGAGACTTATCCCAACTTGGGGAGAAGATTTAAGCTAAACTTTAAGTTCTTATTCATTTCATTGTTAATCAAGCCAGACTTCAGAAGAGGGCAAATTAGACTTTTAGGCTTTATAGAAAGCAAGATAGAGGTGCACCTTATACTTATAGAATAACTGAAGATGCATAAACTTTTGTGACTTCACATTAACATGGCTAACTTCCTCTCTGCTCTTTAGACTTTGGGTTAAGTTTACTGTAGAACAGGTTGGAAAAGGTCCCTGTTCACATTGGGATTTTCAGTACAGAGTCCCTTCAACATGATGTAAACCCAGATTAAGGAAGGCTTCAACCCCCATTCTCTAATGCCAGTCTGAACTGCTCCTTTCCGATCCTGTGGTTCTTGCATGTTTGTCGATAGGAGTTCTCCTGACAGAAGAGCTGCAAAATGAGGTTGTTTTAGTTTCTATCTTCCCATCCAGCTGTACTCTCCTGATCCTCTTCCTATCTTAGTTATATTGTACAAGGCCATCAGCAGCTACAAATCAGTACACACCTAGACTTTAAATCTGGCAATAATATTTACTATACAGGTAAAGAGAGTTGATATAAAAGGAAGTAACGATCATTATTTTTTTGTGTAACTATAGACAACTTTGTTATTTAACTGTAACTTTATCAAGTTGATTCCACACCCACCCCATCATTTCTCACGCATGTGGATTGTTATTAGAAACTTCAACCATATAGAGTTTTAAAGAGGAATCATAATGCCTCAGATTAAATGAGCACTGTAAAAAAGGAGGAAAGAACCAACTCTGAGGCTTTGCTTTTTTGTTTAAAGAGGGCTTTCAAAAGGAAGGATTTACAAAAATTTAAGAAGATTAAGCATGTCTTTAATATATTTTTCTAGTGCAAATGCTTTTTAATAATGTAATGTTCTACTTATGTTATTAGAAGCACAGTTACATGATAATTACTCTAGTACCAAAGAAAGGGTAAGTGGAAATTAATCAGCCTAGTTCCAGTCTTCGTATTGCAGAAAGAAAAACAAATATATTTGTTACACCTCAATTTTTATAATTGCATCTATTTCCTAATTAGCATAACTAGTGTATGACTACAGGGAATCCTGTAAATATAATGACCACCTTAATTACACAGGATGGGTAATGATAAAAATGTTAATAGGGACAGAATAGCAGATAAGATAGAAACTATACTTAGTCATTAAAAAAAACCCTCTAATTTGTTACACCTCACTTCTTAATATATGCCAAAGCATAAAACCACGCAATGGAGTTAAACTACAAGGTAGAACTGGGTTGTACAGCCATTACACTATGGGACAGGGGAAAGAAGGAAGATTTTTACTAGGATTGTGTTGATTTTGATAATGTCTCTTTGAATATGATACCTATGGCACTGGAATGCAGATGTGTAAAAAAGCATCTGGGTGCTCAGGGCAACACGGTGCACAGAGACAGTGGCAACTTCTGGCTCCTGCTACGTTGCTGGTGTGACTGTATGGCTGTTATGGCAGCGGATATTTCCCCTCACCACCACATCCAATCCTAGTTATGCTACTGAAGCAATGGGAAGTAGAAACACAGCTTGCCTTTACTTCATTAACATCCATCAGGAAGAACATTCCATAATTAATGAGCATCTGTGTAGAAACACCATTAGAGGGAGCTCTATTACTTATTCCCATACCTTATGAAGTAAATGTCAATTTGAAATACTTTTGCTTGTTTGTCTCCATTTAACAGTATTGGAGGAAATGAAAACATAAACACAGTCACCACTCTACCAAGTAAGTGCCTTTTCTACCCCAAACTTGTCATATTTCTAGAGCAGTTTAATAATTTATAGAAGAGACGTGAAGAAAGGTTTGCAAATTGCAGAATGGCAGACTGATCATGTTGTATTCAGTATCCAGTACTGAATAGAAGGTTTTTAATAGTTTATGCTGTAATTTGCTGTGCATGACTTAACGGTGTGTTTTATAATTCCCCGGGGTTTGGGTTGATTTGCTATTCTTCTTGGTTTTTTATTCTAAGATGCGTTCAAATGGATAAATGAAATGTAGGTACTTAATAGGAATTAGGTGCAATTAAGGCATCTAATTTGAAAAGAAGCCATCCATGTCAAACCCTATTTTAGCAGCCACAGAACTGTTCAGGCCCCTAGATTCTTAAGTGCTTCCTGTCAGCCCCAAAACTCCCTAGATGTCTAAATACAGGCCTCTGTACATGCTCAGAAATGATCCAGATCAAATTCCTAGGTTCCACTTAGGTGATCCAGATCAGAACTGGGAGGCAACTAAACTTCACCTAATTCCCCAGTCTGCTAAGCATCCACAGAGCACAATTAATGCCTGATTGACACCAACATCAGGTCAGTGCAAAATGTAGCATGGACAGCCACTTTCACTACTGAACATGGCTACCTTCTGTACAATAGCCTAGGGATCAGAGTAGTTTCCCAGAAAGCTGGAAACCTGGATTTTAGGCTCTCAGCTTGAGGAGACTCAAACTGTATTGTCCCCTTCCCAGGAGAGTGCCCTAACCACCAGGCAATGGATAGGCTGTGTGAGAATGCTCTCTGCCTCTCATGTTGAGACAGGGCCACTCTGCAGTCAACAGTGCAAGGAGTACAGCAAATAAGAAGGAGCTTGATTCTAGCCCAGTGAAGAGGGCCTCTCTGGATGAGGGATTTGGTACAAATCCACCTCAAATTTTATTGTGAATACACGTGAGTTTGCCACTTGACTTTGCAAACCGACTAAAATAACATTGTCAGGCGGGCTGCTCATTGCTCACTGCAAACCAGTTGCATTTCATGGGTGCTTCTTCTTTTTCAGATATTCTTCGTGAATTCAATCCTTCCCTTCAAGGGTACTCCACTGGCTCTGGTGGGCCGAATACACCGAATGCATTCCTCAACCAGGCTGTGATAGGAGATCGTGCAGAGTGAGTGAGGACAGATTGGAGAGCAGGGAGGGGTTGTTTCTAATGTGGAGCAGATTGTTTTAATTATGTTCCAGTTAAAGATGGACCAGACCTGGATCAGGGTGGGGGGCTACCAAGTCTGTGGGGGATTCCTGGATCTATAGGAAGGTGGGAGGGGAGGAATAAAAATAGCCCACTCAGGGTCAGTGTGGGAACAATGCAGCCCTGGGGCTGGGATGAGCAGCTAGGCTTTCCCAGCACAGGGCATGTGCTGTGAAAGTGGCATGGCATTTGGGAGATGGTGTTAACTCTTTCCTAGATAGGGTTAACCCAATCTTGATCTAAATTAGTGCACTTCCTTAGGTGACCTAACTTAGATTGGGCGTGCCATTTTTTGCCTGCACAAATGGGCACTTAGGGTGCAGGCAGAAGTGCAGCTCCCCGCTGTGACTGAGACGGCTTTGCAGAAAGTGTTCTGAGTTACAACGATCCCTTGGAACAAACAGAAGTTCACTGTTGGTTCCAGGGGACGGGGAATCTACCTGCTGGCTTCAGCCTACAACCAGTTGCAGTGGCTCCTCCACCCTGCTAAGTGCAAAGTTTTCAGAATGGGAGGAGGGAAAGGAGCAGAGGAAACTCATTCTAGGGGTTCCCCAGCCAGCACTGGAGGGTGGGGTGAGTGAATTGGAGCCCCACTCCAGTAGGGGCTGAAAACCCCCCAGACATGGGGCCCCCCCCCCCCGGGGGGGGGGCAGGGCTCCAATACACTTAACCCACCCTCCAATGGGGGCTGAAAAAAACTCCCAGACTGAACTCCCTCTGCTCCCTTTCCCCCTTCCTGCTCTGAAAACAGCTTGAGGCTGGCAGGCAGCACAGACAGAAGTTACAGTAGATGAACTGTTTTGAAATGTCTTCATCTGACCCCTCAAGCAATAAGGGGTCAGATCCATTTTTGTAGCTGTCTGCAGCTGTGCACTTGTGTTTGGTCATGGCTATAAACTGCTTTCCTTGGCCAGATTGGGTGAAAATTGTCCCTTCTGTCTGAGTCCTCTATTTAGCAGCTTTGCTTCCTGTCATCTCTTCACAGCATCTGATGATGTAAGCCCTCTTCTTATGAAAACTTATGCTATACATCTCTGATTTAGATGGCTCATAAAGGTGCATATCTATCCTGACCTTTGCCAAAATGGTGAAATCCTGGCTCTGCTGAAATCACTAAGGGTCTTGTCTAGATGGCAGCGGGAACAAGATTTCACACAGAAGCTGAGATAGACAAGGCCAGAAGCTGCTTAAAGTTAGTCAGTGGACCACATTCAATCATCAATGAAATGCATGTCAGCCTTTCTTGTGCAAACATATCAGTGCTACTGTGCATCACCAGGTTGATGCCATGCAATATCTTATATAATAACACTAATCTAGTAAGGATAGGGAAGAGGTCTTTATGACAGTTATCACTGCTCTGAGAGAGATTATCTGATAAGCTGCATCCTTTCAATTGTTTATACTGTGATACAAATAAAACAACAAGTGAAGAGAGATGATTGTTTTCTAAAGCATAATTACACATAAAAATCTGCTGTGTTTGCGTGTGATTCATTGGCAGACCCATATTTCCCCTAAAGCCTGCACTGCATTGATTCCTCAATCCTCTATTGTAAAGGTCCAGTTCCATCTCTAGATGTGGCCTATTTCTGGAACCATATTTTTAGGAGCTGAAAACTGAAGTTTTCCATTTTTTACCATATTCTTTTAAGGGCTTCCATAAAGTCTGCTTGTTCATCTGCTTTCCTTAATTTCCCATTTCCCATGGAGTGTTACAGATGTGCCCCTCTCTTTCAATGTTTAGGGATGTCCCTGCACAGGTTCGGAAACTAGTGGACCTGATGAAGAATGATGTGGTGAGTCTCAGCCGACAATGAATATCTTTTAAGTAAGATATGGTAGTGTTGACGTGTTGTCGTGGCTATGATAGCCCAGGAATTATGAGAGGCAAACATTTCTGCAGGCGTTATCTCTTATTGGACCAACTGTATGGTTGGGATAGACTTAGACAAGTTTTTGAATGCAAGGCAGAAAATTATGGGTAGGGCAGTGGTGAATTAGATGGAGTACAGCATCTGCTGGTGAAGAGTCTGGTTCAGCATGAAGTCATTTGGGCTTTCTCTTACTGCTGAAAAGATAGGAGTTTTACAAAGGTGTGATAGTTATCTCACGGTTAAACCCCAGTGGAGATGAGCTTGCTGTAGTTTTTACTGCAAGGTAGCTAGTCAAGTCCAGTACAATATCCCCAGCCTGTAACTGGCCTTGCCTCATTTACCTGAAAATCAAAATACAGAACCTTGTTTCCACTAGGATTTTACTGTGGCATATCTAAAATTGTTAATTTATCCTCGTGTTCAACATAATTTATCCTATGCTGAACATGCATCTTTTGTCAGCAAGCAGAGTCACTTGACCATGTTGAAGACAATAGTTTCACCCAATGACACTCATTTCCTGTTTAGTGAATTTCTGAAGCAGGGTGATCTGTGTCATATTTTTAACCAAGTAGTCACTATTTTTGTTTGTAAATTAACCATAAATTATTATTGACTTTTTACACGTTTGTTGTTCAGAATTATCTCATTAATGGTTTGTGAAACTTATCTACTTATAGGTCACATGTCAGCTCACAAACTTTTCACCTCAGCTATTGCTTTGAAAGTTTGTCATTTGTAATTCAATGAGTGTGCCTCTGAGATCAGTAACCTAAGTCACATGATGCTATTTTGGCTTCCCAACTGTGAATCCGAGAGGCATCCAAACAGCTTTCAAGATAATTACATGACATGTCCAATGTAAACCCGCTGGTGAATACATATTTGCAAAAATATTTATCGTGCCTTCTTTCTCTGTGCACTTTCTTGTAAACAAAATTTTGTTTCACAGATGTTTCTGAAACATGATTAAAAGGGATTGCAGTTAACAATGAAATAATGTGACTGGTTTTATTCAAACTAGTGTTTGCCATCGCATCTAATCAGTATTCTCCCACCCCTGTGAATTTCTTGTTATACCTATTGACTTGGCAACATTACACAAGGCAAACAATTGCAAATACTTTTTTCTATGAATACTTAAACAGGAAGCAGAATATTTTTATCAGGCTTCAGAGGCAATTCAATTCTAGAGTTCCCTTTTCTTTTACTTAAACCTTCTTTTAAGATAACTGTTTAGAACGTGGAGGGACTTTTCTGATCAAACTGTGTCAGTTTTGAGACCAAACCATGTGACAGTATCTAAAGCAGAATCTCTCACTTCCCAGTCACTAGAGATGAACTGGCAAATTACACAACTCGCTGTTAACCAGTTGCTGCTTATCTGCCATCCTGCCTTCTCTATTGCACTAATATTGAACTGTTAGGCCATTTATAGACATGCTGTTTTCTAATCCATGTTAATTGATTCACATCACACAGTTTGAATCAAATTTCAATTTGAATTAAGGGTTAATGGATGATCATTGGTCATCAGGGAGGTTTTTCTGCACTTCTCCACTTCTGCAGTAGAGATGGCAGGGAGCGGGACACTGCCCACCACTCACAATCAGGGCCACAAAACTGTGCTCACTTGCTACACCTGGTGGTGGGTACAAGCAACAGCAAGCCCTAGATACCTGCCATATATACATATTAATTGATACAGTTTAAATTGCCTAATGTGGACTGCCCTAGTCTGCATTAACTTTAATCATTATTCAATGAGAATTATTTAATTCAGACTGGAGCCAATTTAAATTCAGATTACAGACGCCTAGCTGTATATAGTGATGGCTATAGTCCGAATGAAACCTAAAAAAACATAACGCCTATAAATGGCCTTAGTATTCACCTGTGGACCAGGTCTATTTGACTAAGGCATGTCTGAACCCTGTATCTTCCCTGCCAGAAAGCTGTATTTTCACTAACTAACACGCCTTACCTTTCCCACTGTAAAAATCCTAATAGAGAAAATACACCATATTTTTTTTACTATGGCATAATGAAATGAGGTTAGCAAAATACCCTATTTCCAGTTGACTTTGCCTACTTTTACCTTATGGTAAAAACTCAAGTGCCTTGTCTCCACTAGGATTCTACAGCAGGTCAGCTACAACAGCTTTTATCTTTCCCACTATTAAAAAACCGTAACAAAACATCTCTTATTGCAATGAAGACATAGCCTCAGAGCTCCTGGAACAGTCAATCTAATTTTTATTGATTTATAATGAACGAAGTCATCAATGGAGCTTCAGCAAGAGCTCTCTGAAGGGTCTGAGAGATATCACTGAAATGGTAAACCTGTAATTATAATTGTATTTATACTGTGATGGGACCTAAAGCCTTGCAGTTGTGACTGGAACATCTTATTGCTATACAGACACAGGAAAGGATGTAGCCCATGCACCAAAGAAATATTTATTTCCTGTTAGCTTATGGTTGATCCATTTCTTCTTTCATGTTTATCATTCTCTCTCTCTCTCTCTCTCTCTCTCTCTCTCGTTGGTTTTTTGTTTTTTTTCCTGAATGCAGAGAATAAATTTCCAGGGAGACTGGAAGCTCGTAACACTTTTTATAGGAGGAAATGACCTGTGCAAATTCTGCAATGATCCTGTAAGTCACCAGGGATCTTAGAACTGCCTGCAGCATGAGCAGACAATGGCATTGCTATTTGGTACTGTCTGCATTCCAGAGAGTGGGGTACTGGAGTTCAGCTGGGCATATATGGTGAACTAAACCTCAAGTGGCTGCATGAGTGTTGTTCCCCGCCCACCTCTGAGACCTGGAGGTCGTTCAACCTCAGCTTTAGATAAAGCGAAACAGTATCTTTAAGAACAAGCTTGAGCTATGAGATTGGGGCTAATTTATTTTGTGATAAAGTATGATTAACTTTCTCTTGATCTAATCAGATCTTTCTGTACATAGGCAAAATAAACTGCCAAAGGATTCTTCTATCTCCTTCCATCCCTCAGATTGCCAGCATCCAGTATGGCGTGTCTGCTATAGCTACAAGAGCATGGGTGTGGTTCCATCCACAGTTCATGCCAATGCTGTCAAACCACCTGATAGCAAGCTTGCATTCTACACGTGTCCTGTAATGTCACATCTCCCTCATGAACTTTTCACACAGTGATAGCACCTTGTTGCCTTCCCCACATACAAATAGCCCAACATATACTTTTTATTCTAGATTTCTGATTCCCTGTAAAAAACAAAAAACAAACAAAAAACAGCAAAGAAAGAGCCATTACAAAGTCCCCATGAGAGAGCTAGAGAGTATGCAAGAGCAACTCAGTCCAACCCTCTGAACCTGGGAGAATTGGCACGAATTGAGGCAAGAATTATGAATGAACTTCAAGGCGAGAAACATTTCTAATGCTGAGGTCTATTTGACCATAGAATACTCTCATAAACGAAGGGGGGAAAGGCTAGTTATGTAAGATAATTATAGCTACAATATAAACCACTCAAATATACTGCAGGGAAAGCCCTTGCCATGTACAAAGGGATCGTATCCCAAATAAATTCCTCAGTTCCTATGAGGGGTATAAGTTGCAGCCATGTTGGTCTAAGGACATAGGCAGACAAGGTTCTTTGGGTAAACCTATCTTTTATTAGACCAATTCAAATAGTTGGAAAAATTCTTTGCAAGCTTTCGGGTACAAATACCCTTTGTGAAGCTGAGGAAGCAACTGCAGTTGGTCTGTGCTCTTCCTGATACATTTCTCTACATGGGGCGTGCTTTGTAATGCAATATTCATGGGAGGCATGTTACTAATAGTCCTCACACCTCGGTTAGAATACAAATTTACTTTTTTATATTGGATTATCTGTGAATGTTTTTCTTCAGACTGATCTCTCTTGATGGCAGTCCTGGTTAGTGATAGGACTGCTTTGCTTTTCATACTGACTGTAAACAGAATGAACAGTGGGGGAAGCTGGACATCTGATAATTCCAGCAGAAGGTACTCCATTAGTGGCATCCTGTGGTTGCCAAGCCCCATGGAGATTACACCCATAGAAATTGCTGAGGCAACCAGAGATCTCCAAAACAACTGATGTGGCAGATGCACTTAAATCAAGAGTTAGGAGTTCAGCTGCTGTTGTTTGAGACCCTAACAAGCAGCTACCATGCCTCCCTGACTAAACTACAATGAACAGACTGAAATTCAACCTTTTTGCTTCAACAGATAACCTTTTCTCCTGAGAACTTTACCAGAAACATACAAACAGCTTTGGATATGCTTCATAAAGAGGTAAAAAGCAAAATTTTCTATTAATCTACCTGGGGAAACCCAAAATCTAGAACTTCAAAAATTAGTTCTAAAGTGGTGATGTATCATCATAATTAGCTTCCTGCTGGAATATGGGCAGAATTGCTGTGCCCCTGTGCATGCATATAATAATCTGTGAGACATGTAGAACCTATTTTAGAAAAGCATTTCATAGTGAGAGAGGTGAGGAAATGGACTACAATCAAATCATGGAAAGAGATTTTAACAATTGGGACAATTATATAGTATTTAATAGCCAGACAGTTGCATTGCAATGCCTGGAAGTCATTTCTTTGCTCATTCATTAAACAGCACAACACCATCCCTATTTTTAATAATTATTAAGTAAAATAGTCTGATATCCCAATTCATGCTGAAATCAATTAGATTAATCAAAGGTTTAAAGAGCTTCTGAACATTGGGAAGAGAATCAGACTCTTGTAATCAAGAAGGAGACTCAGGATCTTTTTAGAATCATTAGCTACAGTAGCCAAAACTGTATTTGATAGGACAAGGCAGCAGTACCACAATTTAGGATCTCTTGGGGTTGAGGTTAGCCACTCAGACAGCCTTTTGAACACTGTGGATAACAAAGCCTGTTTGGACCTGTAAACTAAGACGTTTGTTATAGTAGCAATAGGATGATTTGGCTAATTCCAGGTCTGCTTGGCTGCCCTGGAAAGAGCAGAGGTAGCACTCTTGGTCTCAGTAAGCTTGCTTTGGATTTGTCTATTCTCTTGGCAGGTACCTCGGACATTTGTGAATCTGGTGACAGTGCTTCACATAATAACCCTACGCGAGCTGTATCAGGAGGCGAGCATTAATTGTCCAAGGGCGCTCATGAGGTTTGAAAATGGTTATTATAGCTCTCACCATGGTCGAGGAAAAGGAGCAAAGTTGTCTTCTTTAAGGGATAGGGCTTCAATAGTTCAGAGAGTTAAACACTACTCTCTCACTCTCTCTGTGTATGAGCCCCTTTGCAGAATACATTCTAACTTCACTTCTGGATTTAGAAACATCCGTCTGTCTTTCCCCTTCCTGCTCTCTTTTTCTGCTGAATCATTTTAATGATTCCTCAGTAAAGTGGATATCCAACTGTGAAACAGATTAATACACAGCAGATAGAGCTCAGCATTGCCTCATTTGATAAAGGCACCACAGAGTTTCAACAGTATTAAGGTACTGATTTTTTTGGGGGAGGGGGGACTAATCAAACTAATCCAGTTATATTTACATCTTAGAACATTCCTATTCATAGCTTTAAAGTCTCTTGATTTTTCTCCATATATTCCCTAATAGGTATCATCTGTCTCGCCAGCTGGTGGTTAGTAGCTGGGTTGTTAATTAGTCTTTCAATTAGATTGGCAGGATGTTTAGTCACCTCCCTGTTGCTTTTTAGCTGCATGTGTTTCATCATGGCACCACATGTGACTCCTGGACAATACACAGGTCCATGCTGTGTTCATCTTGAACCTCATGCAGAGTCAGTGCAGTCTGAAATGTCAGTAGGCTACCCATGCTGTCTGGGACAGAGGATGCAGTATAAGCAACTCTGGTCTGACTGACACTGTGGCAGCTTTCTTTTTCCCAACAGCAGGTAGGAAAGGTGAGAGTGAAGGACCGAGTAATATCTTCCTCCCTTCCATCTGTAGGAGGAAGAAGTGAGAGATCTCTCCATTTTCCCATACGCAGAGCAACCTTTGTAACCATTTTTATTAGCACACAAGCCAGGAGCTGGGGAAATCCTGTAGTAGGCAGCACAGACTGTGATGATTAGCTTGGACTTGGGGACATAGGGGAGAACCACAAAGTCTCTTCTGGGCTCAGCAGCCTCAATAAAAATCCCTGTTGCATTCCTCACAGCTAGATCCTGTATCTCTTCTGTTGTGAGGGACACTGGAGACTGCACGGCAGTCTGACAGTAGCCATGGGTGGGAGAGGGGATGCATGGAAGACCTGGAGGGCCCTATTGTTGAATGCACAGAGGGAGCAAGTACAAGGCAGACCTTTTGCTGTGATTTAGTTGCTCTCTGTTACTTATCAGTAGGAAAGCAGTTCTTCCTCTCCCAAAGGCAGGGCATTCCAGGCTTAGAATATCTTCTGTATTTTGCTGCAGTTTCCCTTTAATACAGGTCACTTGTTGTACAGCTGCAAACTTATCCCAAAATTTTAATCACCAAACAGGGGCAGGATAAAAGCCTGTGAGATTAGAAATGAATTTCTCTGCTCCTTTTAGAAACATGATTATCTCACGCTATCTGTAACCTTTGCCATCCTTTTCAAATGCTCTGCTGTAGTCATTTTGTATATACACACACATGTGTATGTGCCAGAGACAGAGAAACTGTAGCATTTATGTCAACAAGGGGATGAATTGCTCTGGCAATCTGAACAAGCACTGCATGGAAGGATAATGAACAGCATGTTACTGACACAGTTCAAAATACAGCATAGTTCTGTACACAAATGGCATGCAGAGGTAAATTTCTCTGACATGGCTGCTCAGTAGGCCTGTGCAAAGCGGCTAGTATTTGCTTCGGATTCAGATTCGGCCAATTCAGGGGACAGTGATTTAATTCGGTGATTTGAATCACTGTCCTGAATCAATTTGGCCAAGTCTAATTCGGAGCCGAATCTCCAAATCAGCCAGGTCCATCCTCCTCAGCCCTGCAATGGCTGCCCCGCCTGCCCCAGCTCTTGGCACTTGGAGAGAGAAAAAAAAAGCCCTGGCTCACCGGGTGCTGCTGGGTGGGGGGCGATCCCAGCTGCCCTCCACTATCCCACACTGCATGGGGGGCTCTGCACAAGCCCCTCTCCCCTTCTTCCCCCTCCCCCTCATCCCAGCCCGCCCTGTGGCTGCCCTGCCCACCACAGCTCCAGCTGCCCCAGGCTGCATGGGGGGCTCTGCATGAGCCCCTCTTCCCTCCTTCCTCCCCTACCCCCCAGCCTCCCCATAGCTGCCCTGCCCACCGTGGCTCCAGCCCTTTAAGAAAAAAAAAACTGAGAAAAGCCCAGATACTCACCATTCCTGCAGCAGCCTTGGAGCTTCAGGGGCAGAGCCCCCCACATGGCACAGGGCAGTAGGGGGCAGCAGGTATCCCCCCCGCAGGGCAGGAATGGTGAGTCCAAGGGGTTTTCTCGGGGTTTTTTTGTTTTTCTTAAAGGACCGGAGCTGCAGTGGGGGGGCGCTAGGTTGGGGCAGGAGGGGTCAGGGGGGGCGGGAGGCTCTGCACAAGCCCCCATGCCACCGGGGGCAC